CTTCAAAAGAAAATTGAAATTTTGATTAAAGAAAAAGACAAGGCCAAACGAGGGGCTTTGGAAATGTTTTACAATAGCTATAACTCAACAAAAGAATGGGATAACCAACCAAAACTAACGAAAGAAGGTATTGGTTATGGTCAATCCACAAACTTGATGAGTATGGCTAAAAACCATTTTAATACCTCTCAAACTAACCCATCAAACCAAGTCTCAACTTCTAAATCAAAAGTAAAGGCTTGCCATTATTGCATGCAAGCTAACCATATTGTGACAAAATGTCAAAACAAATGGTTAGTTGAAATGCGTAAATTAAAATGGGTCAAGAAGGGTTCTAACCGGTCGGAATCCAAGAACATTGGATATCAAAAGAAACCCTTTTTGCAGGAAAATAAAAGAAATGATGGTGGATACTATTTCTTTTATTATGACGAAAAACGAAAAGTCCATATACCACTTCCGGAACCTACCAAGATGAAACCCGTATATCGACATAGGGTATTCGTCGATTGGAACCCCAAACCTAGTCTAACATCTCCTGGACTAGGCGTTCAATCTCATTGTTCTAAAACTGGGGATAACGATACGGCCAGACGTTGATGGGCTTGACCCTATGTTGCAAAAATATTCGGTGATTGTGTAGACGCCTCGGCGGGAGACCAGAAGGCTGGGCAAACACTGCCCGATGTCGTTGTAGCACGGCCGAGATCAGCTGGGAAGCTCACCGGCTGTTCTTCGGTTGTCGTGGGCTGCTGCGTAACCACCACTTCAAAACACTTGGAGATGTGACGCACGGCGTGCAAGTTCCAAAATTATGGAGTGATAATGGCCGGGGAGTTAACCCATCCCCCTTCAATTGTATCGGTTTGCCCTGCCACACAAAATCCATCGTCAAATTAGCATAATCGTGCAGTGCCTTCGAGCATGAGGGACACCGCGGGTAGACGCAACTCCTCAGTCATGCCATAGAAGGAAAAAATACTCATGGGCTTTGAAAAGCCACCCAATCGGATCCACCCCTTCGGTTTTCGGCATGTCGAGCTTTAATTTGGACATAACAGAGGCGTGATCATGTGGTCGGGGGATGGCCGAACTGGAAGAAGGTGTGGAATCCACTCGGGCAACCACCGCCTCCAACTGTCGTTGAAGTTGTTCCACTATTTGCATTAGGGTTTGCATGGCCTCCGTCTGGGAGACATCATTGTTATACCCCTCCCCGTTGGAGACATCATTTTCTTCGCCTCATAAGTGGATAATGGCAGTTCGTGACCATCTGGAAGAAGTTCACCCAACTAAACTAACAAGGACGTGAAGCTCTTGTCACTCCACCCATTTGCAACTTATAAATTGAACAATTCCAAAACCCCTTCCAAACGTGTAAACTTTGTTCAACCAGGATAGAACGGCCGTTTTGCATTCCCTACTAAACTCTCATGCATATTACGCTCTTCATCGATGGTATCTTGATCATGACGAACATATGGAGTACACCCTAACTCATTTTCCTCCATTTCAGTCTCAAAATCCTAGATATTGTCAATGTCATCTTCTATTTGTTCCTTAGAAGTATAGCTAGAGCTACCAACATTTTCTAACTCTCCATGACATTTCCATTGCTTGTATGTTAGGTTGAAACTCTTGCGATACACATGGAGTCGTATATCCTTAACGCTATCAACCATAAAATGGTTATGACATACATGGGCAATATATCTTTTTTTTCCTCTTTTGAATGTTTCCCTACGAAACGAAAAACTCCTCCAAGCCAGAACTAAACTCAGGTGATGTTCACGGCATGTGAATCTAACTTCGATCCATCATGAGTTACTAGCTAGGCAACAAACGACAAATGATTGGATACATAACAAAATAATGCACATACATACATACAACAAATACACATACATACATACAACAAATAGAGACAACACAATATGTCATTTCTTATGATTAATAAAAAATCTGACAGCGCCCCCGAGCAAGGCTCAAGGGGCGTTAGCCCCTGCGGGGTCCAAGGGGCAGAGCCCCGGCCCTGGTTGGGGTCAAATTTGTTTTTGGACAAAGTGCTTTATTAAAAATTCAATTGAATTATTAATATTCAAAATGTACGTATAAATTTTTTTACAAAAATCGCTTCTGTAAAAATGAATAAATTTAACACAAAATATTTAAAAATAAAATTTATAATTTTCAATAAAGAAAAAGAAAAAACCTGGGATCGACAAATATTTAAAAATCCATGTTGATTTAGAAAAGAATCACATTCTGTAACAATCCAAAGAATTTTTTTTTCTTTGGCGTTAACGAGGAGGAGGAAGAACAGGATTAGGCTCTGATATTTGATTTAGAAAAGAATATTGATTTTACTTGAAGAGTAATGGAGGATACATAGAAGGGAGAAAGACTAAAGTAGTAGGACTAAAACATTGAAAATATATCAAAATAAGACTTCCATATTTTTTTCCGAAATAGGACTTACATTACCAAATATGGTCATATATATTACCAAAAAAGTATAGTAATGTGCACATGTACACTGCCACATTACCACAATGCAAAGTAACATTACAACAGTGCAAAGTCATATTTCGGGGAAAAAACATGAAAGTCCTATTTTGGTACTTTTCTCTATGTTTTAGTCCTATTTAGGGTGATTTCTATACATAGAAGTTTATATAGATGGAGATCCTGAAATAAATTAAAATTCATCCAATATACTCTCTCCGTTCTCAAAAACACTTCCTCTTTCATTTTTTTCACTTCCAACAAAACACTTCCACTTTCTATTAAAAAACCACTTTTACACTTACTTTTTCATACCCTACTTATCACATCATACTTTATCTCTAATAATCTATCCATCACATCTTACTTTTACCTATCACATCAAGATCAAAATTGGAAGTCAACAACAATTTAATACTTCCTTATTTTGACACAAAGTCAAAAAAGGAACACTTTTTCCAAACGGAAGAAGTGGTAGCTGACTAATATACTAATACTAGTATACTACCATAAATACAATTATTACTATATTCTCCAATTTTATAAGCCAAACTCGGACTACATATCTGGTTTGGTCAAGATCAGTGCTCTTAGATTTTTCGTAGTTGTTCAGACCCGTTCAACTTCTTGGTCTCTTGTGACGGGCGTTGGATAGATAATATGGAGTATATACGTGAATAATTTGGAGTAGGTACATAAATAATTTATTGTACTCTCTATTAATTATTACTTCTTCTCTCCAAAAATATTTTTCACGTATTGTCTTGACACACTTATTATAGAGTAGTAAAAAAGTATCAAATTTTCAAAAATACATGTAATATAAACTTTTAGAGCTTTTTTCTTATTAAAAGAACAATAAAAAAGTAAATTAGTGGTAAAATAGAAACATATTATTGAAATATATTCTAAAAAAATAGACTAAAAGAAAATGAGAAAAATATTTCTGGATAGGCCAAAAAAGAAAATGGAAGGAACATTTTCGGACGGAGGGAATACTTCGTACTCCGTATTTCATTGATTATCTAGAAGGATAAATAAATAATTTACTTCGTATTGTTTATTTCTTCAAGGACTGTTTTATGAAGATGAGGTCTTAATTAACAGTAATTAAAATGCAGTACATGAATGTTATTACCTGGAGTAATTATTATTTCATTGATTATTTAGAATATTAAAGAAATGATTCATTATTTATTTCTTTGAAAATTGTTCTATGATTATGAAATACTAATTAATTATAACTCATTTTTAAGAAGTATTTTTCCATATGTCTCGTCCTCCTTTTGATCAAGATAACTCTCATTGAAGTAAATAACGAGTTTTATTGTAGAGCAATCGAAAAAAATAATGGGGGTCAAGTGTTGTATGTCTTGTATCCAAAAGCTATATTTTGCAATTCTTGTTGTTAATTATACTAGTATACTTCGAGCAATACAATAGATAAAAAATTGTTATTAGAAAACATTTCGAATGATCACGCGGCTTGAAGGTTTATCTGGTTTAATATACCAACTCTTTATATGAACTAGGTGTGGTTTGATCTTTTTAATTGGGATATGTAGGCAATTCCAAAATTTTTAATTTTGTAAGTGTAATCATAGTAATAAAATTATTTTTATTGATACAATAGAACTAAGTAATAGGTAGGCTTTATCCTTACACTCCGTACAACCATGCTACACATACACCAAAAATTGTACCTCATTTGTACACCGTAGTTATATACAAACATTTTGATGGTTTATACCGACACAAGTGTTGGTGCGTTAACAAAAATTTACACGAAAACAAAGTGTTGGTGCATTAATAAAAATTAGTTTTATACCAACATAAAATGTTGGTGCAAACCTGCGGGGTACAAAGTGTGGTACAAAAACTTGGGGTACAAATAACGTGTCAAGACAATATTTGGTTGATCTAGTTCGATTTTCACTTGATCTAAAAATAGCGTATTGTCTTGACACGCTTTTTTCAACCAAATATTGAAAAAAAAGGTTATAAGGGTATATGCATTTTTTGAGAAAGTAGTTACAAATTTTTCTTAGTTTCAATATTTCTTTAAAAAATATTGAAAATCAAGTGACTTTTCGAGCTGTTGTTCCTTATCTTATTGTTTTTTTGTCTTTCTTTTCTTGATAGCCTTTTATTTTATTATTATTATAGTTTTTATTGCTTAAAAGCAAAGAAGTCTTTATCTCATTTTCTTTTCTTTATATATATTTCCTCACACAGTTATCTTTCATATTCTCTAGCTTCCCCATCCAGCTGCTCCCTTTTCTCCCAAAAAGAAAGAGCCTTTTCAATATGAGTTTCAAACCATTTCTTCTCTTTGCTCTCTTCGCCGCCTCGTGCTTAGCACAACCCCCTGTTCCCTCACCCAAAATTTCTCCCACCGCAGTTCCTGCGCCGGCACCCACCACGGCGGCGCCGTCGCCCCCTATTCCGCCGTCTCCGGCACCGACCCCATCCCCTGCATCTCCAGCGCCTGCACCCTCGTCTCCCTCTCCAACCATACCGTCGAGCCCGGCGCCGGCTGCTGTCCCTGCCCGAAACTCCCCGGCGGAGCAGCCCGCTGCGGACGGCACCCCGCCCCCGAACGGTGCTTCCAGGATGGCCATGAGCGGCGCCGCCGCCCTAGCTGGAGTTCTCCTCGCGACAGCTCTGATCTAGTGCCACGTGGGCGCGGTGCGGTACACGTGTAGGCATACTGAGCGTAGATCTGTGCGTATTTCGATATATATATATATATATATATATATATATATATATATATATATATATATATATATATATATATATATATATATATATATATATATATATATATATAATGTGTGTCATGTGGACGGGCCAGATTTAATTTGTTTTGTACTTTGTAATTTAACCTTGTTTGGCTTTTGCATTCCTCTCATAGGTGTATTTTTATTTTTTTTCAAAATTGTGACTTCGTGTTATACAAATAATTCAATAATATTTTGTATTCTTTTTAATTTTACACTGAAAAAGAGAGGATGGTGGGGATAAACTGGTTTATGCCATTCAAAAATCCCTTAATGGGAACACTTTCACCATTCTAAAATTAATTTTTAACTCGTATTATAAGAATTTGCCTCTAAGGAAAATGAAATTGGTGGTTAGAAATTATTATTCAAATAAGAAGACCAAAAACTACACACTTCATTTTTAAACGAAATAAAAATCTTTAAAATTGATTTTGGATCCACCAAAAACAAAAGTTATCTCTTGTGTGAGTGTTTTTTAACAAGATTTAGTGTAAAAATTGTGCTTCTATAATCTTAAGGTCTGTTTATAAAATGTGGATTTTTTTAACATTATTTATGAATTGATTTAGGGATCTTGAAATTCTTTTCAAAGACTTCAATTCATCAATAGTATTTATAAACTAAGGTCCATAAATAGGTTAGATTAAAGCTCAATTATCGGGTCTAGCAATTTTTCTAAGCATATGATTTTTGGAAGTGTAAGTATGTTTTACTTCTTGCGAATTAGTCTTGGACTAAAATTTCATTTATGTGACCAATTTACTTCTGAACTCTTTTACCAATTCTAAGTAGTCCTCATAGTCAACTCTCTTACTGAAAGAATTATTTGGGAGAAAATTTTCTTATATTTCTCTTACCTTTACAATTTTACAATGAAGACATATATATATAGGAACTCACAAGTTGAGAGTCCTAATTAGTAAAGGAAAAGGAAAAGGAAAGAATTACTATACAAGGAAAACTACCAAAACACAATATATACACAAATATCTCCAAAATATTCTTTTTCCTTTAACACCCCCCTCAAGTTGGAGCATTAACAAAGAAATGCCAACTTGGGATTAAGGAACTCGAGTCGTGACTTCCCAAGTGCGTTCGTGTGTGTATCTGCAAGCTGATGCGTAGTAGGGACATTAATGGCACGAATCTCTCCTTGTACAAGCTCATCACGAACAAAGTGACAATCGATCTCAAAGTGCTTCGTGCATTCGTGAAAAACCGGATTAGCAGCAATGTGAAGAGCCGCTGTGCTGTCACAATGGACGATCATAGGGTTCTTATGCTCAACCCCTAAGCACCTCAATAAGTTCTTCAACCATTTCAACTCACAAGTAAGGACAACAAGAGCCCTATATTCTACCTCACCAGACGAGCGAGCCACTGTTGTTTGTTTCTTAGTTTTCCAAGAAACGGGTGAATTTCCAAGTTGTACAAACCAGCCAGTCAAGGACCGCCTTGTCAAAGGGCATGCTGCTCAGTATGAATCACACCATCCTGTGAGCTGAAGACTACTCTTTGATGATAGAAAAATGCCCTGACCCGGACATCCTTTCAAATAACGAACAACTCCAAGAGCTGCAGACCACTGATCCTACCTGGGTTCCTTCAAGAATTGTGCTAACGTATGGACTGCATAAGAAAGCTCTGATCGTGTAACAAATAAATAGAATAATCTCCCTACCAGATGGCGATATGGATCTGTATCCGTCAGAACAGGAGCTTGGGAACGAGCCAAGTGATGATTTGGCTCCATGGGTGCACCCAATGGCCTGGCATCTAACAATCCTGCCTCATTAATAATATCCAAAGCGTACTTTCGTTGGCAGAGAAATATCCCAGACATGCTCCTCACCACTTCAATGCCAAGAAAGTATTTCAGTGTTCCCAAGTCCTTCATATGAAAATAATCTCCCAGATAAGCTTTGAACTTGCTCACCATCTCTGCATTATCTCCAGCAATAATCAAATCATCAACATAGACCAAAACATTTATTACTCCTTTCTTTCCAACAAAAGAAAATAAAGAGTAATCAGGAACAGATAGGACAAACCCATAGCGTTTCAAAGCTCCAGAAAACTTGGCTAACCAACACCTTGGAGCTTATTTTAACTTTTAAGCCATATAGAGACTTCTTGAGTTTCCACACCACATTAGACGAATTCGAGAAACCAGGTGGCAATTTCATATACACCTCATCATGAAGATCTCCGTGTAGGAATGCATTGTGAACATCCATCTGATGCAATTCCCACCCCTTAACTGCTGCAACTGCTAAAAGTGTTCTCACAGCAACTTGACTACAGGAGCAAATGTTTCTTTGTACTCAAGTCCTTCAACCTGATGATTGCCAAGTATAACCAGTCTGGCCTTATATCTCTCCACACTTCCATTGGACTTGCGCTTGATTTTACACACCCATTTGCAACAAAGAGGCTTTTTATGACGTGGAGGAGAGACAAGAGACCACGTCCGATTAGCCTCCAGTGCATCAATCTCCTCTCTCATAGCATTCCGCCTTCGTTCATCCTGGAATGCCTTTTTGAAACTCGTGAGCTCCACTCCAGCATCAAGTGCGCTGAGAAAACACTTGTGTCTGTTAGAGAACTTCTTGTGTGTGACATACAAGGAAAGAGGATATTTGCATTTTTCACCAACATATGAACCAGCTACATGAGTAACATAATCGGCAAGACGCACATTTGGACGTATCTCACGCTGACCACGTCCCAAGTTCTCAATCGCCTGCTGGGAAGAGGACGGTCGACTGCCGTCCGTGGAACGGTCCACGTGGTCGACCGTCTAAAGCTGTTCCGGATCACTGACTTTCTGCCTCGGAGACGGTCGATCGTCTTCCACATCACGGTCAACCGTATGATCATCTCCCAAAGAACCGTCATTCTGCCTCTCGAACAGTTGACCGTGGATATCAGGATGGTCCACGAGGTCGAACGTTTGATCATCTCTCAGGAACCCGTCTTTCTGCCTCTCGGACGGTCGACCGTGGACATCAGAACGGTCCATCTGGTCGACCGTCTGTAGCCTGTCTGCTTCGCCACTTTCCTTCGGTCGACCGGTCCGGCTGCTCTTCCGCGGGCGTCTCTTCATCATATCCCGTGACACGGTGATTTTCCCAGTGTCTGGGAAATGCACGCGCCAACCCTTCTTTCTTTGTGGGTATCCAAAAAATATTCCAGGAACACTTCTAGGTGCAAATTTATCTTCATCTCTTCTCAAATTATGTACATAACATCTGCAACCAAATACACGTATGTGAGTCCGCATAGGGACCGTTGCATAAAGTTTCTGATGCAGTGTAACCCCCCTAGCAATGAAGAGGGTGTGCGATTAATTAAATATGACGCAGTTTGTAAACAATCTCCCCAAAATTCAATAGGGAGTCCTGCCTGAAATATTAGAGCTCGACCCACATTCAGAATATGAAGATGTTTGGACTAAAGAACCTGATGGATGTATTCCACCAAGGCTCGGACCCAGATCGGGTCCAGCAAGAACCAAGCGGGTAAGCTTGAGGGGGATGCAGGAAGGGTAATTGGGGGCCGCAAATCCACACATTACCAGTGGTGATGCAAACCACCCAGATGGAAGGGTGCCAATGGGTGCCCATGACCCAACGGTATAATGGCGCGGTTTCATTGAAAAGCTTCTCGAGTGATCAGGGTGTCACTCAGCAAAACTGCCTGGGTGGTTCATTGGAACTGTTGTACATTCTAACAGCCTAACATACTTGGAATATTGCAATTTGGAGACAACCTGGTCAGACCAGATTTCCCTACACCAACGTACATATTTAAACATCCTAGCCAAATACTACATGCCAATAGGGGCAGTTACAGAGCATCACGGCCTGGGAAAGGAGACGAGCTGTAATGCCCCAAAACATACCCTAGAATTATTAATGAAAAAAAAATAATCAGTTAATCAAATTTGTTTTGATTAAAATAAATTATTGTTGGGCTTTGGGCCGATATGAAATGTGTTTTGACATCCAATATCAAAATCTGGATAAGTCTCATAGCGATAAATCCAATATGTGGACTATTTGTGTGGTCTTGATTGGGAACCTGAGTATAGACCCAAATCAAGAGTAAATAAAGAATTTGTTTAGAATGTAAATATTGAAATGATTTGTTGAAATAAATCATGAGAATAATTGATGTGAATTAAATGAGAGAACCTTTTATGAGGAAGGTCAATTAAACCAATTTTGACTCTGTTAAAGTCAAACACCCAAAAATGTGGTGTCAGAAAAAGTATAATGAATGAATATAAAAATTATATCGTTGGATAGAGTTCGACTGTCTGATCGCAACGGTGCAAACGGATTTTAATTCGGAGAAAGTTGGAC